CCAATCAACGTGAACAATGTTTAGAGTAGGTATTTACATTAGTGTGTAAGAGACATATGGTGTGAAACGAGAAAAATGTGAAGATAACAGATTGTGTGTATACGTAAGTGACTTATTCAGTATACAGTAAACCAGAGAACCATGTTGTTATATCCCAATGAAGATTAAATCACGAGTAACGTCTGAGACTTATTAATGGACTATTATTATTTATATATTTTCACGGTATAAATATTCGGCAAATAGATTATGTATATCTATATTCCCCTTGTTCTAAGCTTTATTTTGACTTATAATTTATTATTGTACGATTTACGGTTATTAAGCTATGTTCAGTTTATTGACTGCTGCCTCCCACGTTCACAGCCACTTTTTGACCTTATTGTGTACAAATACTATTTCCTATTTTATGGTGTTTTGCAGTCTGTTTGATTGATATATAAACCCAGTATGTCTGAAATAAATGATTCGATTCGATTCGATTCGCATAGTGGAAACTGATGTTGGCGTTCTGGACTCAAGTGGACGGACTAGGAGGACCTAAGACCAATAAATACACTAGGCTGCTCATACCGATCGAACGTTATTGGTTTGGCAGTGCTAAGATTGTATAAGTCGTATTTTGATTGGTCGACAAATCAGTGAAAAAAAGCCGGCATAAACTCACAACACATGTACCTACTTATATTTAATAATTTTGATGTTTGATTACATTTACTTGAAAAGGCTTGAACCGAATTGCCAGCCGAAACGTTGAGTTTACTTCAAATTCGTTCGCTGAGATTTTACAAATACATTCTTCCTCTTTAATGTCTCACATTAACTCGGCGTCCAAATACTGTGAAACTATTCGATCAAATTTAGACAAAACTTCTTATTTGTTATATATGCTTATAAGTATTGGTATATAATGAAAGGATAAGAATCATCCAGCTCAGAGAACAAAGTTCCATTGAAATCATCTCCCCTAAACTACAAATCTTCTCTATTATTACGGATAAGAATGTAATTGAAAATAAAACTGTTTACTTATATGTGTGTTTAGTTTTAATTTAAATAAAGAGGAATATTGTCAGTATATGGTTTGTGGGGATTATTAAGTTCTTGATTGAGATCATGAATCAATTGATGTTAGACCACCGTTGGAAAAATGGATGCACTGGACGGCCGTTCCGTCCTAGTATGTGACTCTTCAGCAGTGCGCATCCACGACCCCGCTCCCTGCGAGACTGGAACCCAGGACCCACTGGTTTCGCGCCAGGCGCTTAACCAACTAGACCACTGAGCCGGCATCCCATACTAGGACGAAACGGCCGTCCAGTGCTTCCAGGTTTCCAACGGTGGTCTAACATCAATTGATTTATGATCTCAATCAAAAAAGAGGAATATTGTTGGGTTTATTATATTCAATTAGTTAATAATTTCATGACTTGATACTATCAAGAAAAGCTTAACTTAGGTCAACAAAATCAAATGGATTTAGTTCGGAATTAGGTGAAGTTCTTTTTGAAGAAAAAGAAACAAAAAGGAAGGTCACAAATTTGTTTTCATTCAAGGTCAAATCTTAATTACTTCAATATAGATTTTATTGTTTTCATTGAACATTGAATTTAATGTTTTCGTATGGTAATCTAAATTCATTTATAATTATATACAGAATACTTGGATTAATTAGTGTTCATTTCAATGAATAATGGGATCTTTAGAGTTTCAATATTAAAAAAATTCTTAAGTATAGGACAGGAGAATGTTGCTATGTCACTCTCCCTCTCTCTCTCTCTCGACTATATTAACCTAAAAATAGTATTGATTATTTGAAACTAATATGAATAGAGGATAATCTTTCCTTAGAAATAATGGAATAAAATTGTATATTCTTGATAGGAAATGAAGAGAATTGAAAGACAATATAGGTTATGTAACAATCTGTAATAATTAAGGTATTTGACCTATTTTACAAACTAACCAATCCATAGAACCTGAAAATATGAAGTTAGTTGGAGTGAGTTCGCAATTAGTCATGTCCATTATGGAATTTTCAAAAATCATCTTATTCGATTATGTAAGGGACAACAGCTAAGGTCAATCAAAAGCTCTATACGTGCTAATCGAACAATCTATTCCGATGATATTTGATTATAACAAGAAAAGTATAAATGTTTAAGAAGGAAGAAAATTAATTAAGTAATTTATAGAAAATAGTTCATCTAGATAATAGTTTACACCAAGAATCATGATGTGACATCGATTCATCTAGTCATTAACTGTTGTTTTGAGCTTCATCAATATTTGAATGAATCTAGGTTAAGATAATCGATATAAATGTGATCAATAGAAATGAGAAATTGAGTGATATGAATTGAAGTTGATCACACTAAGTGTCTGACCATAGCTTCTTATTATGTTTGATATTATTTCCACTTTTACGTCTCTCATCTTATTCATTTTATTATATATCATAGTGATTTAAGGTGTGACAACTTAAATCGTGCTGAATTTCACTCTGATTTAATGTAACTGATTGGTGGAATGAGTTGTTAAAATTCAAGGAAACTTGTTTTGGCCTAGTGCTAATCCAAAACCCATATAGAACATCCCAGTTTTGGAGTGATACAATACTTATATTATAGTCATTAGACTGTATCTCAGATGCCTAATTTTTCATATTACTGCTAAAAATGTTACTACATTTACTATTCTGAGATTTGAACTAATAATTTCATCTTGGTGTAGTAATGAGGTATGTTGCAACTTGAACCAATGTACATTACGTACCAGATTATATGATGTGACTCTCTGAGTTAAATAACATATGATGAGTGAATTTTTGATAATTAAGAATATCTGAATAAATATTCTAAACATCTGACTGTTAAGTAAATGATGATAGTTTATACGTTTACAATATAGTTTTACAGTTGATGAACAACATGACCTGCTTAGATAGTAAATTATTTATACACATGATGGAATAAGATATGTATCTGAAAATTTATAGAGCATCTGGTTCTCAATGATTAATCTGTCATTTTTCTAGTTCATTTAGTGAGTATGTGTTGAGTCGGCTTTCGGAGAATTGTAACGGAGCATCCAGAGGCCTAAAAGGAGCCGAAGAGTCCTAGCCAATCACAGCACGATGGAGCATTCTAGAATTCCAACGTGGCGTGCTACTATTGGTCAGTAGCATAATATATCGCTAACGGATTGGCTGAATTATGATGTTTGTCTGTACAAGAATGAACCTTGGGATAAAGTATTTTCTCTCATACTTGCGTCTTCTCTCTGGTGTTCAAGTCGCTGTGTAGTTCTAGTCTGCGGGTTACCAGAATAGCTTAGGAAAACCAATATAGCGTTCGATCGACAAGACTTATCAGTATGTTCTGCAAATAAGAACATCACTTTCACTTAAGATACCACTCTAAGCTATAACTCACACTTTATTTGTTTTTTGGTGGGTTTTTTTTTCATCTGACTAGTTATAATGCACTATAGTGATGAGTTCACATCAGACATGTAGATATCTTTAGACAACTAAAATAAAATCCATATTAAAAATTATGTTCTTATACGTTACATTGGTGAATTGATGAATAAATGGAAAACTGTTTTAAGATACTAAATATTGAAATTTGATTATACACTAAAAAAAAGATCATTATCTTACATAATATAACAAACATTTCATAGGGTTAAAGAGGAAGAATGTATTTGTAAAATCTCAGCTTGGATTAGATTGTCAGGCGAAACGTTGAATTTACTTCAAATTCATTCGCTGAGATTTTACAAATACAACATTCTTCCTCTTTAATATCTCACATTAACTCGGCGACCAAATATAGTGAAACTTATTATATTAGTATTATATCCATTTATTATTATTATTATTATTATTATTATTATTATTATTATTATTATTATTACTTGATTGAGATCATAAACCGATTGATGTTAGACCACCGCTGAAAAGCTGGTAGAATTGGACAACTGTTCCTTCCAATTGTGGGATTCCTTAGCAGTGTGCATCCACGATCCCGATCGCGGGATTCAAACCCAGGTCCTTCAGTCTCGCGCGCGAACGCTTAATCTACTGGACCACTGAGCCGGCAACCAGTGGTGTTAGCGCAATTTCGTGGATTGGTTGATGTTAGACAATAATTGGTTCATGGTTTCAATCAAAAACCTAATAATCTCCACAACCCCCATACTGATATTTTTTATTGGTTTTTCTTTACAGCATTAACTGTTCTCAATGAATTTAAAAATATCGAATAATGGATAAGTTGTAGCAGTAGTGAAGGCTGTTTTTTTATGTAGTTTCATCTTCAATGTTCAGTCTTGACTAAAACACATGACAAATACTTTCCTGACGTCGAAATGATCTGAAAGTTTTAAGTAAAATTCATTTTGAGTTGATCTCTAACTTCAGACTGTAATCTCTTATCGTAGTAGCCTGTAAATTATAACGGACAATAAATTCATATAATGGAAATAATAATAAAAATAATAATCGAGATTATAAACTGATCAATAATAGATCACTATTGAAAATCTGTAAACACTGAACCACCATTTCATCTTAGTATGGGACTTCTTAACAATGCTCATTCATAATCCCAAACATAGAATTCTAACCAAGGACATTGGATCTTGCAAAAATACTTAACTTCTAGTGCCAGTAAGCTAGAATCCAACACTGTTAACACTTAACTTCAACCAATCTACAATATTGTTCGTTCATCCTTCACTATGTACAAGAAGTAACCAATTCACAACTGATTCGATTGAACTTCCAGATTTTTAATGATAATCTAATATTGATCAGTTTATGATCTCAATTAGAACTCAATAACTTTCACAACCCTATACTAATAATAATAGTTATTATTATTATTATTATTATTATTATTATTATTATTATTATTATTATTATTATTAACATAACTATACTGTCAACATATAGTGTAAACATTCAATAATCAATCAATATTCAATCAACTTACTCGACTTGTTTTATATGCTGTAAATGTACTAAAATAATCATATAAATAAACTATACGTGATTCTGATGATTCAAAATCATAATATATAGTATAATTAGATGTATCAGAATGTATAAGATTAGGATCATTTATAGTATTAGTATAATCCATCATAGATCTAAATGAATTATCTATATGATCCATATTATTATTATTATTATTATTATTACGATTTTTGTAATTTATATGTTTATTGATTAATTCCTGATTGGATTTTTTATATGGTATAATATGTATTGGTGTAAATATTACTTTTAATTGTAAACATGGAAATGTAGAACGTTCTTTAGAACATTTATTTTCACAACGTTTATTTGTATCATCCCTACGTGAACTACTATATTTACACATACCTTCTTCAAATATTGATTCAGATAAATATGGTACAATAATTAAATGTAATAATATACATTCAATAATAAAACTAGCTGATATTAATGTAGCACATGATAAATAAACAATTTTTAAACATGAATTTGAACATAAACGACTTTTTAAACGTGTAGCAATATTATAATGATTAGGATTATGATTATTAATAGTTGCTGTGCGAATTGATGATGATCCAGATGGTGATAATGGTTTTAAATGTTCACGTTTAATTGATGCATTCATAACGATTTTCTATAGAATTTCATTCTTATTTAGATGTAAATGTAATAACAACAGAAAAAAAGAAGAAAAAAGAGCAAAAGAAAAAGAGGAAAAAAAAGAAACGTTGATAATTCTTGTTTTTAGGTTGTTTTTTTTTTTGAAAAACAATTTATTTATGATCATAGTAACTACGGGAAAAAAACAAAAAAAACACAGTGATTACGTCATACGTATCGTTTTTTTTATTTCAAGGGTATAATATAATAATAATAATAATAATTAGAATAACAAAAACAAACACCGAAATGATTTACATTTATGAAGATCAGAATTTCCACCGTAATAATCCGTTCATTCTTTATTTATGATCCATTGTGAATTATATTTAAAGTAACTTGAGTAGGATTGGTCTTAAAACTCACTTGATGAGTTGATTGAGTATTTGAATGGATTGACCTTGGGAAATCATGTCGATTGGATTATTTTGAGAAATTATTGATCTAACAATTTAAATATCTGACTATCTACGAATTGCTAACTAGACAGGCATTAAAAAAAAAATAACTCAAAAGTTAAGAGGGGAGAAAGAGAGAGGGAGAGAGAGGAGAAAAACAGAAATTCAAGGAATAAATAAATGAAACTTATCAGAATAGGGATTTATGGATATTGTAGTAATTTTTACTAGTTGAATTTATAAGTTGATTAAAGGTAGATCACTATGGAAAATCTGGAAACACTGGATAACCGTTTTGTCCTAGTATACGACTCCTTAACAGTGTGCATACATGATCTTGCACTTGGGACTTGAGCCAAGGACCTTCAGTCTTGCGGGCGATTGGTTAACCTCTATACCACTAAGCCCGCCAGCATTCAACGATGTTAATGTCTAAGGAAAGGCCGTGCAGTGCTTCCAGATTTTCCATGGTGATCTAGCTTTAATCGACTCATGAATTCAACTATTAAAAATAAATGAAACGTTTATTGGTCGAATCCATAACAATTTACTTACTTATGCCTGTTATTCCTCGTTGAGAAGCATAGGTCGCGGATCAACACTCTTCATTCAACCCTTTCCTGGTCAATCCTATCCAGTTCTTTCCAGTTTCTATTCATCCTTTTATTACCGGCCTCTATTTCACGACGAAATGTGTTATTTGGCCTTCTTCAATTTATCATTCTTACGACGAATTGGCTGAATTCTCTTCTATTATTACTAATAAGGATAGAATTAGTAGTAATGTTCATATTAATTTTTACAGTCTTCGCTATACTAATGATTATTTCATCCATTGAAGAATCGCTTCTTTTCATTCAGTGATGATCTTCACTTGCTAAATTCTTCGAACTTATGTACACTCTTCAAATGTCTTATAAATATTGCGCAAACGATTTGATCAATGTTTGAATTCTAGATAATGATTGCCTTTTAACCTTCATATTTTCTAGATATGTCTGTTGTGTATGATACTTATGTTGATAGATATAGGAAGTATGTAACACCGATCGGAAGTGGAATGCCTGGTAACAGAAGATTGCAATAAATGGAACAGGGAGGAGAACGGAGAGCGATCGAAATAACAACAGAATTAAAGGAAATAATGGAGTGTGTAAATAACAACTGGTGAAAAAATATGCAAATAATGCATTTAATGTATGGTTTACATATTTTATGAAAGCACTCTGTGTATTACAAAGTAAATTGACTTTCTCCACCTGAGTTTTTCGTTCACTACATATCTACCTTATACATATATGTATGTCCACATATCTCTACATAGTACTGGTAATCCATGTCATATTGAATTCTTTCAGTCATCAATGTTTATTATTTAATAATACTTCCTTATTTCCTTAAGCCTGTTATTCCTCGTTGAGGAGCATAGGTTGTCTACCAGCATTCTCCATCCAACCCAGTCCTGGTCAATCTTTTCCAGCTTTTCCCACTTTCTATTCGTCTTTTTCAAATCTGCTTCTGTTTTCCAACGTATTATGTTCTTTGGCCTTCCTCTTTTCCGCTTCGTTTCACGATTACAAGTTAGGGCTTACTTCGTGATGTAGTTTGGTCATTTCCGTAATGTATGTCCTACTCATTTCTATCGTCTTTTCGTGATTTCCTCTTCAGCTGGGACCTGGTTTGTTCTGTCCCAGAGAAGGCTGTTGCTAATGGTATCCGGCCAATGGATGTTGAGTATCTTGCGTAGACAAATGCTTATAACTACTTTTACCTTCTTGTTGATGGTTGTAGTAGTTCTCCACGTTTCAGCTCCGTACAGCAGAACTGTGTTGATGTTCGTATTGAAGATTCTCACTTTGATGTTGATTGACAGTTGTCTTCAGTTCCATATGTTCTACAATTGTAAGAATGTGGCCCTTGTCTTATCAATCCTTGCCTTTAAATCTGAATCAAAGCATTCTCGTTTATCGATAATGCTTCTTAGATACGTGAAAGATTCCACATCTCCCAGAGATTCTTTATCAAGTTTTGGTGTTCTCCGTGTTGTATTTGAGGATCTTGGTTTTTCCTTTGTGTATGTTGAGTCTTACTGATGCAGAGGCTGCTTCTACACTAGCTGTCTTAATCTGCATTTCTTTGTGTATGGGATAGGAGGGCCAGGTCACCTACTAAGTGCAAATCTTCTAATTGATTCTAAGTTGTCCATTGTACTCCGAGCTTCCCCTCAGATGTCAAGGTCTTCATAATCCAGTCAATCACCAGAACAAAGAGGAAGGAGGATAGTATCTGTCAGCTGTCCTATTCCATAAAAAAGTCAACAATAATCAAGTATTGTTTTTGAATTCTTAATAGGGTTACATCAATTAAGACTATTTGAATGGTTTTACCAATTAAGTTTATGTTTAAGAATAGTTATTTAAAAGGAAAAAATAGATTCATCGCTAGTATTATTGTTATATTATAACAATGATCGTTACTGAATAATTGGCTTTTTTTGATAGGAATATAAGTTCAATGTCTTTTGTTCTTTTAAAACAGCCCAGGATTGTATTGTGTCAGAAGCAAAAGATTATTAATAAATTCGAGACGAATTACTTATTAGTCGGTTATTGAGTCTGTAATATAACCAGGAAATTATTGTGTATTTAAGTGACTTGTAAGAAAGTGAGATGTAGAAATGATTGGTTTTAATTCGTTATGTTCGTTGTTTATGCTTTACCGAGATGTTTTTACTTTACATAATACGACGTATTATATAAAATTGTAAAGCAGAGTGTGAAACATCGTCGAAAACTGAAATCCTCTCTAACAACTATGCAATGTGTCATATCATGATGAAAATCGATCAAAAATAGTTTAAGCCTCTCAATATATAACAGTAACCATTAAGATCAACCGGAATAAGCTTAAGATACATCCACCAAATATATACACAACCTTCATTGTCAAGCCTAGCCAAATGGTTGCGTTACGTTATTCTTCGATATCTTCTAAGTCTCAGGAAGTATATACTTTGTTTCCATCTTATAACATCACTAAAATGAAAGTAATTTCTTAATGTAGACAACTAAATGAAATGACTGATTAATTCATAGTAACCAACTGACAGCAACTGATGAATAGGGATCTCAAAGAGACCATATACTGAAATGTGACTTACCTTACGAATATAACAATTATTTACTTAATTACTTACTCACGCCTGTTACTACCAATAGAGTACAGGCCGCCGACCGGCGTTCTCCAACACACTCTGTCCTGGACCTTCCTTTACAGTTCTATCCAATTTTGTTCATTCTTCTCATGTCTGTCTCCATTTCTCAGTGTAATGTGTTCCTTGGTCTTGCTCTGTTTCTTTGACCTTGAGGATTCCATGTGAGGGCTTAAGTTGTGATGTAGTCGGGTGCTTTCCTCAATGTGTGTCCTATCCACTTCCAGCGTTTCTTTCTGATTTCTTTCTCCACTGGGATCTCGTTTGTTCTCTCACATAGTAGGTTGTTGCTTATAATGTCCGAAAAACGGGTCCGAAGTATATTGTGTAGACAACTGTTAATAAACACCTGTATCTTTTGGATGATTTAAAGAATAAGCACTCTCAGAGAGACCTAATTGTCTGGAGTTTGATCTCTAGTAGGATTGTGTGTACGCATTAAAGAGGAGTTTAACACTGAGGTGAAACAGTAATCCATTGCTTCTAAATTTTTAACGATTCTCTACTTCTTTACCAAACCTAATAACCCGCAATGCCAATCCTAATTCCTCCCTTTTGGTCCTAGCAAGTAGCGGAATTTTACCAAGGTCACTTTGTCGTCGCTTGAAGGTCATTCGTAAATTATGACCTCACCAAAATAATATGAGAAAACCGAAGAGTACTATAGGGCGGTTTCCTTCAAGTATCGAATTTTTTTAGTAGTGCTCATACGTGATCTTTAAATTTCGTAGCATGATCTTAACCGCTTCGCGCACTGAGTTGCCATACAAATAATTCATTTTTCTAATTTCAATCAGTTGACGAAATAACCTATCGAACATAGAATACTGTCAGCAATGACTGTCTCTCTTCTGGTACATTGAATGACTAACTTAAATGGTTAGTAAAGTTCATTCAAAGTAAGCTAGTTCTAGTTTAATTTTTAGGGTAGAACAATATGAGAGTTCTTTTTGAAAGCCGTCGATATTCATATGTATGAAATTGTTTATTTTGAGTGACTGACTATATATATATATAATCCAACTAGTGTTTGTACTAATGTCTATGTATTGATTTTTGGGAAGTAATGACCTAAATAGCACTATTAATATTAAAAAGGCAGGTACGGACATAAAGTAATTAATAATAAGGGGTGGACTGAATTTAATAGTTTGAACCATTTGTTTGTTTGTTTAAAAACGTGTATTTGTCACTTGGCTGTAAACTATATTGGTGAAGAGTGTGGAAAAGTAAGAATATGGTGTTATTCATACAAAATATGTATGTTTTTCATAGCATAACTGTTACTAGGTATAAGTGTGTTTCACGATGGTAGTTTTGACGAGACTCTAATTTATGGACGAGCCAATCAGAGGCGTCTGAAGGATCTCAAGGCTACGGCGCCAACTTCAGTGCTTAATGCTAACGTACGATCGGTTCACAGGGAATTTTGTGCAAAACGTGATAACTGAGCGGCTATAACAAATAAAACGGCGAGACTACAATTTATGGACGAATCAATCAGGTATAAGATAACAGATCTCAGATTTTGGCGTGAAAGACTTCCGTCCATTTGGCTAAATAGATTTCTGGCATTATAGCTGATGTCAGTTCGTGATATAAACCTCGTATATAATTCCTAACTATGGCAAATTATGACAATTACCGCGAACTGGATAATAAACGCACCAGTAAAACTGGCTGCAGCCAAGT